AGAATAGATATAATGATAGATATATACACCACACAGAAGGGGTAACCACCAAAGCAGACCCCCCTTAACCAGGCAGAAAAACAAAAACAAAAGCAAAACCCTGCAAAATGACAACATACCCATGTGGAACAGAGCCGGCCACTATAAGGGGTGAAAACTAGCTGTGCAGAACACCGCGCCCCTGTCAGTGACGAAAACTACCCCATACCCAGAGGCAAACACGGGCAACAAAGACCCCAGTTGACTCAAAGGGCGGCCAAGTACCGAGCAGTAAAAGACACAGTGGGGGTAGATCCCGAGGTGACGTGTGGAAGGCGACCCCAAGCCCCCAAGGGGTAGTACTTACAGGGCACTTGGTGGCCTGAGGAAGGTGGCATGAGGCGCATGTTGCCCGAGTACCGAAGAATATTACTCCTGGCTCGTAAACCACCAGTAGAGACAGTCCACGCCACAAGGCACAGAAACAGAGACAAATTGCTGGAGTCAGAAGCACAAGACCACCTCAGTAACACATCAGCCTGAGAACTGCAGGGTGGATCACCGGCATGGGAGTCTGGGGCTGCCCCTACCCCCTCCCAAGGAGGGCAGGGGGAGGGTTGCCAGACAATGACACAGCGACATGACGTCTTGCTAGTTTGCTAATTTTCGTTTGGGGAGTTCTGTCCACCTGTTCGGCGCTCGGTAGCAATAGTTTCAGCAGAGTAGGGGTTTGTTTTGGGCGCCTACCTTTTTGGCTGCCAGATCCGGTCAATGGCAGACACAGAATGAACCCAACCACACGGGGTTTCTATAGGCCATTGCTCCTCATGCATCTCTTGAGGGGGCCCCAAGTTCTGGCTCATGGTCCCCGGTAGGCAAGAACTCCGTGCACATTGACTGATGCCAGAAAGTTAAACATATCCATTCAGCCTAGATAGCTCAGGGGAGCCAATGGGGCTCCCCCCCAGAAAAGTTTAAAAACTGTCAGTATACTTTCTAAAATCAGATACAGTATATGTTCCCCCACTCTGCTCTCCTCATTATAACACGCGCTAATCTATCTATATCTTACATATGGTATCTGTGCATGGGGTTCACCCACTGCAAATTACCTCAAACCTATCATCACTCAGCAAAAATCTGCAATCAGAACTATAACAAACTCTGTCTTCAGACAACACACAGCTCCCCTCTGTTTAATCCTCACAGTTTCCTACCTTGTGCTTCAAACTCACACTATATCTTGTACTACCCACTTCCCCAATATTAGTACTTAAGACATATATCTTTACCAGTGTAATCACCTCTGTCAATTTATATTGTAGTTATTTGTTAATATAAAACTTTGCTACAATGTACCTTTTCATCTTGCCTGATATGTTACATTAAGGACCTGCCCAAAACACACTGTACGTTAGTGGCTTTGCAAGAATGTACAAATACCAATCTTATGTAATCTCACCAACCCATTGTACCTTCTTGTGAACAAATTATTATTAGTATATTATTATTATTATTATTATTATTATTATTATTATTATTATTATTATTATTACTATTATTATTATGAGAATGAAAAGTTATCTAGCTGCCTACAAATGGATAACAAACGATGAGCAATGTGATAAGTTACATCCCAACTTCACTGAAGTCATTAGGATGAATGGATACAGTACAGCTACATAAAAAAAAAATGGCCGGATAGTAAGTGTGTCAAGAAGGTTTAGCATTATAAATGTCTTAAACATCTTTTAAGAAATGTAAAATTCTTAAAAGGAGGCACATCAATAACTCTTGCATGTCATATTAACAAAAACTTCTCATGGTCTCCAGAAAGGTTCACTCTTTCTGGAGGAGATCCTGTGGCTCCCTGAATACATCTACCTGAGATTGCTCCATACTAAAATGTCACATCAGTCACAGCTGTCATGTTTGGCCTACTGAGAACCGAAGCCAGAACTTGGCCCCCAAGTTCACAGAGGCACAGGGAAGGAGGGAATTATCAGGGGGAAAGCTCCAAGCTATTACAACTATCACTGAAAAGGGATCAGGATAAGGATTTGGGATGGGACAGGGGAAAGAAATGGTGCCCAACCACTTTGTCAGAGTTTTTACAGGAAAGAGATGGTTGGGTTGACTGCATCTATCTGGACCTAAAAAAGGCTTTTGACAGAGTTCCACATGAGAGATTTTTCTGGAAACTGGAACATATTGGAGGGGGTGATAGGTAAGCTTCTAACATGGATGAAAAATTTCTTGATAGAAAAATGAGGGCCGTAATCAGAGGTAATGTATCAGATTGGAGGAATGTCACAAGTGGAGTACCACAGGGTTCAGTTCTTGCACCAGTAATGTTCATTGTCTACTTAAACGATCTACCAGATGGAATACAGAATTACATGAACATGTTGGCTGATGATGCTAAGATAATAGGGAAGATAAGAAACCTAGAAGATTGTCATGCCCTTCAAGAAGACCTGGACAAAATAAGTATGTGGAGCACCACTTGGCAAATGGAATTTAATGTGAATAAATGCCATGTTGTGGAATATGGAATTGGAGAACATAGACCCCACACAATCTATAAATTATGTGAGAAATCTTTAAAGAATTCTGACAAAGAAAGGGATCTATTGGTGGTTCTAGATAGAAAACTGTCACCTGAGGACCACATTAAGAACATTGTGCGAGGAGCCTATGCTATACTTTCTAACTTCAGAATTGCTTTTAAATACATGGATGGCAAAATACTAAAGAAATTGTTCATGACTTTTGTAAGACCAAAGCTGGAATATGCAGCAGTTGTATGGTGCCCCTATCTTAAGAAGCACATCAACAAACTGGAAAAGGTGCAAAGACAGGCCACTAAGTGGCTCCCAGAACTAAAGGACAAGAGTTACGAGGAGAGGTTAGAGGCATTAAATATGCAAAAACTAGAAGAGAGAAGAAAAAAAGAGGCGTGATCACTACGTGCAAAATAGTAACAGGAATCGATAAAATTGATAGGGAAGAATTCCTGAGACCCAGAACTTCAAGAACAAGAGGTCATAGATTTAAACTAACGAAACAAAGCTACCTGAGAAATATAAGAAAATTCACTTTTGTAAACAGAGCAGTAGACAGTTGGAACAAGTTAGGTGAGAAGGTGGTGGAGGCCAAAACCGTCAGTAATTTCAAATCGGTATATGACAAAGGGTGCTGGGAAGACGGGACACCACGAGCTTAGCTCTCATCCTGTAACTACACTTAGGTAATTACAAAACATTACCTCCTGCAAGGGCCTAAGCAGAAGAATCAAAGATTTGTAAATAGCCTAAGGTGAGGCTCCGGTGGCCTGGCCTTTTAGGCACAAACTCCCAAATGCACCAGAGAGGACAACTTAGACTGTGCAAGGGCAGTATCAGTAGGCACCCAGGGAAGAAAACCCTGAGCACTTGCAGATAAAAAAAACAGCAAGAGCAAAGCCCTCATAACAATCCAGGTAGAAAACATACACCTAAAGATAACATTAAAATAAGGAATACAACAAGCAAATGACCCCTGCAGGATGAACAAAGTTCAAGGATGGCCGGCACTTAACTTGAAGAAGAAAGACTTGCCCACAACTAGTAGACCAGACCACTTCTGGTAGAACCATCCATCAAAGCTCAAACTAGCAACATCATCAGCAACAAAACTAGCTGGTCAGGGGAGCTGGCTGCAGGCTGAGGTCGGGCTGCCAAGGAGTGGTGATCGGTACTAATAAGGTTCCAGCTAGTTTGACTGAATCCCTTGTTGTCTGTGAATCGTTTGTAGAGTCGTTTGCCTGTTTTCGAGATTTTACTTTCTGTGAACTCTCTAGTTGTCTGTAAATCCTAGCTGACTTTCAGAATGCTTTCCCAGTGTGCGTGGCAAATTTTCACTTGCTCCTTACACCTCTGTAAAGGGGCGAGGTTCTGGCTCTGATTTCCCAGGAGGCCAAATAGAACTTCTTTGACTGATGCAATTATTTAGTATGAAGCAATCTCAGCAAGGTAGCTTCAGGAAGCCTTTGCTCCCACAGAAATATAAAATTCCTACTGTATGGTATTCATGAACAAGAGGTTGAGTCTATTTAATGTGTTGGAATGACATATGGACAAGAGGTAAATCAAATAAAATAATTAATTTTGTCGAGGAGACTTGAAGCCTGTGTATGTGTAATTACCCAAGAGCAGTTACAGGATGAGCTTCGCTCATAGTGTCCCATCTTCCCAGCACTCTTTGTCAATTAACGCTTTGAAACTACTAACAGTTTTGGCCCCCCACCACCACCTCACCTCACTTGTTCCAATCGTCTACCTTCTGTTTGCGACAGTGAATTTTCTAATGTTTTTTCGGCAGCTTTTTTTACTTAGCTTAAATCAACTGTCTTGATTTAAGAACAAATTTACTCTTGAAGTTGTGTACTGCCATAGCAGGCAGGGAAGGGGGGCAGGAACTACAAGACTAGGGAAATTTTTAAAAATATTAATTCTAATTCAGATCACATGAGTGAAGCACCCCCCCCCCCTTCCCAAATGATAATATACATTTGGTGAATCCAAAATTGTGTTTCATTATAAACAGGGTGAATCCAAATTATGTTTTATTATAAACAGGGTGAACCCATTGATATTATAAAATGGATGGGATAGAGAAAAGCTAAATCTATTTTGCCAAGATGTGGAACCCAAAATACCTTCATTATCTCTCCTCCCTCCTAACCATTTATGAAATGATGCTCCTGCTTGTAAGACTGCTAAAGACTAGCAAATAAAAGACATTCCTTTTCACTTGGCAGACAAAATAAAAAAAATACAAATAAAACATTTAACTTCAAACTATTCACTTCTCACCTGGATACTGGGGTGCCACCATATGCTTACTTCCACTGCTCTTGTTCTTATAATGTCTATATGTAATGTAGGTCATTACCGAGTGGCCCAACTCACTCCATGTATCAAGGGAAAATCAATGGTAAAAATTGTTTTTTATCAAGGGAAAAAACTAAACTGTAATGTTGGTTTCATGTACTGTTATGGGAATTCTTTTTTATTTAACTTTACTTCCTTGGCATTCATTTTAAACCTAGACTTTTCCTAAATTTAAATCACAAATATTTGGGTAGATAACATAAATTTAAGTAATGCACAAATAAATTATTAAAATATTTTATTTTTAACACTACTCTTGAGCACCAAATTCACATTCCTTTTTTTACAATACATCTACATAGAAAAGAAGTAAAGAAGAACTATTCCAATAATAAATAAATAAAAAATATTTTAGTATCAAAATAAAGCACCCCTATTGTCTCATGAAACATATACTGTACAGTGCATTAACATTACAAAAATAAACAGCTGTTGCACTAGACAGACAAAAGATGAAAGAAAACTATACCTTAACCAATAATTAATATTGACAACTTGACTGGTATAATAATCTCCATAAACACAATACAGTAATCAGTTTTATAAGCAAGCATGACAAGACTTTGTTCCACCTTTGCAGAAAAATGTACACATCTACCTGCACCTCTAAAGAAAAATGTATTCCCTGATATACATATGAATGTGAAAGATTTACATTTAAGAAATTCAAACTATACCACAAGACTGCACCTAGCTTTCCTTCGGGGTCATCATGTAGAACTAGTGAATTAATAGCTTCCTGACTAATTAATTTTTTATATTAAACTAATAACACAGTGGATTGTAGTTCTACTATAATTAAACTTTACATATATTTCTTTGTGAAACCAGAGAACAGAGAAGCACACTTAAATTATTGAGATAAGTTTCTGAGAGTTGCACAACATAGTGCTGTTTATTACATTTGCTGCATAAAAAGGTATTGAGAATAAGATAATATGATATTAAACTGGAGTAATTTATGGCCAAAATAGCTGTGGTCATAATTACTTCTTCCAATAATCTGGTATTTACCTTGGCGCAGAGAAAATACAAGTACTTGGGTAATTACACATAAAATACCTCTCACACTGTTCCATTCTGTGCAACAGCACCTCTAAGAACCAAGCCTTACATCCAAACAACAAATAATTTAAGCCAGGATTCCATAAGTAGGACTGCCTGTGAACTTGTGCAGTGAGTGCTTTCCAATCATTTATATACATGATTAAAAAATAATAAATCCACACAACAATAAATAAGCACCAAGAAAGCTTAAATCCTCACAGCTATCAAAATTCTTAATCCCTTAATTTGCGTACTTCAGTCAAACTACATATCAGCATATCCAGCAAGGTTCATTATTAACAATGTGACTGACTAGGCCTTACTTTCATGAGAGTATATAGTTTTAAGTTGCACATTATTAAGGGTGATGCATTTGAAACAATGCAAACTTGTACTTAATGAAACATTTGCTCAAAATATAGCAGCCACACAAATAACATCTTATTTTACATGTATGAATTCACATATTTTCAAGAATCTCAAGTCCCATGCACCTAAAAATTTAAAGTCAAAAATAAAAACAAAACTGGTTTAGCCTGTCTCAGCTTGGGGCCATGGAATCAACTTCACGTGGGTGAACATCCTTAACCACCAGCCACTGACATGCTGAACATAGCAGCGAAATTGTAGCTTTGTTTATATTCACTTGTACACTGTCAGTGCTATCATAGTGCCGAGAGCAGCCAGGACACACCATTTTATTTATGCGACGATTCATGAACACATCATACAAAAGAACTGAGCACTGAGGTATATTATTAAGAGGAGCCTTGTTTTCCTCATTCACTGACACACAATTTTTTCCAGCATTAAATGCACCATTTTGGGGAAGTTTAGTTTTGGCATCATTTGTATCAAGTGATTTTAAAGATTTATGGCATTTTAAAGTGGCTTCAACAGCTGCCTTACGCTTTGGTCTTGTTGGACGTACATCTCGATTGTTTAAAACAGGTTTTTTATCACACAAGCTGCTGCTATAACAGCTATAGTTATCCGTTGCATATATGCGCTTAATGACAATACTACACTTCTTCATATCAGCAACAATTGAATGATCATTACTTTCACTGAACACACTTGTCACTGATGACATTGAAGTATCACTACTCCGGCTACATCTCCTACTGTCGCAGGATGCACGTGAGGCACTAGTTGAGCTGGCACAACTTTCAATGCTTGGAGCTGGGGATGGCAATTTTAAGTGTCTATCTCTCAATTTTCTAGTTGAACACATACTAATTTGGTTTGCAGACTCATTTTCTAACCTACAACTCCTACGCACATTATTAACTGTAACTGGCTGCACATTTTCATTTTTTTCATCTGGAATTATTTCACAACTCAATATTGTGCTATCATGTTCACTTTCTTTTAATTTAATATCTACACAATTATCTGTTGTCGAAACTCTAGTTCGTAATGGATTAGCAATCGTTATTCTAATAGTTTTTTTCATCAAATTTTTATTTGTATCTAATTTTGTCTCTCTTGACTCATTACACATCTCGGAGATTTTTTGCCTTTTTGTTCTTTTGGGGCTTACTGCTAAAGAAAATGTAGTGTCTTCTTTCAGATTTATTTCATCATGTACTAGCTTTTGTTCATTTTTACTAACTTTATCAGACCCCTCTTCACTACATATATCTTCTCTACCATTTATTATGCTGTCTATTGTCCAACGGGTGTACTTTGCCATGGGATATTTCACAGAATTTCTGCTATCCATTCTCAATTCAGTAATACCAGCATTTTCTGTTCTACTTTGTCTGTTACACTCACTTCCTAATTCACTGTGAAGTAATTTCATTTTTATAACTATTCTTTCCTGAGAACTTGGAGAAGCTCCAGAATCAGACTTTGTAGAGGAAATTCCTGAAGTATGCTTCTCAGGGGACCCTAAAGAATCAGAGCAACTGGGAGATAAAATGGCACTATCATCTATTGGTGATGTTCTGGTAATACACTTTGAATGTACAGGAGATTCACTTAGAGGTTGAGATGTTGGGCTTGAGAGGACAGCAGTTTCACAGAACTCATTTGGGCTTACATCCACTGATGACTCTTGATTGGGCAACTTTGCTTCCTCTACAGAACTAAGATTATCTAAAGAATTGATGGAGGTAGAGTTCACAGGCAAATCCCTCGGACCTTGTGGCAAATCTTCACTTGATTGGACAGATGGTTTTGTATCAGGGTGACCATATGTTTCTGTCCTTGATTCGTGGTAAGCCTCTCTCAAACCATGATCAACAGAATCCATTATACTCGAGTAACCTGGAGAATTTCCTACATCAGCATGAACCGGTGACTCTTCGGTACTTGGAATTAGAGATTTATCTAAAAGAAAGTTGTCTCTACTACCAGAGATAAAACCTGAATCTCTAGTCTTGATATTAGAATCCTCACATGTATCAGGGTGTGCTGAAGAATATACAGAACTGGAATGAACAAGTGATTCCCGTCTGCTACAAATTCCAGCAGATTCTCTTACTTGAGAATCACTAGAATCATTTGTGCATAAATAAATAGGAGATTCCCCTGTATCCGTATAAACAGGCAGTTCCCCAGTGTGCCACGAAGCGCAGGAATTTCTTGTGTTTGCATATACAGGTGATCTTGAATTTGGGGAAAATGAGGATTCTCTAAAGCTACCACAATCAGACACATTTCTAGGAGTGGAGTAATGAGAAGAATCTCTAAAACTTGAAAGCCCTACACTGCTGCTTTCCGTTTTAATTTGTATTTCATTGGAACCATTGTGTTCAAAAGATTCAGTAAAGCTTGGAAGAGCTGATGATTCATTGTAAGTGTTAACAAGGTTATCTTCTCTAAACTTTAGGTCAACTGATGGTTCTTCAAGAATCATGTGCTGGGAATTTATTCTGAAATTTGGAATTGTATTGGATTCCCTGTAACTATTATCAGCTCTTGGTTTATCAGCCTGAACTGAATTAGATGGGTGTCTACAACTTGTCCCATAACTCAGCAGATCTCCAGAGTTGGGGTTACCAGATAGTTCACAAGAACTGTTGTGATTTAAGGATTCTCTGAAACTAGTATTGTAGTTATCTGGTTCTCTAAAAGTTGGGAGATATGGCTGTTTGGAATTGGTGTCATTTAGAGTTTCCTGAAAACTAGGAAGAATTTGCTCTCTTGGACTAGAATGTCGACCGTTTACTCTAAATGCAGGAAGAACTTGCTCTCTAGGGCTGGTGTGGCTAACTGTTTCTTGAAAGCAGGGAAGAACTTGCTCTCTAGGGCTGGTGTGGCTAACTGTTTCTTGAAAGCAGGGAAGAACTTGATCTCTAGGGCTAGCATGGTTTACAGATTCTCTAAAGCCTGGTAGAGCTTGCTCTCTCGGACTGGAATGGCCAACAGGTTCTCCATAGGGTGGAAGCATTTGTTCTCTGGGACTTGGAATTACTTGATCTCCAGGGCTAGGATGAGTTACAGATTCCCCAAAAGATGGAAGAACTTGCTCTCTGGGACTGGAGTGATTTACAGTTTGTCTGTAATTGTTAAGAGGTTGTTCTGTACAGTTACCAAGGTCCAATGTATCTCTGAAGTTGGGAATAGCTGAAGATTCCATGTAGTTGCTAAGAATATCTTGTCCTCTGTATCCAGCAGGCTCAGATTGTTCTTTGAAACTAGTATGAGAGTTTTGTGCTCTAGTGTTTACATGAGCCTGCAGTTCACCCATATTAGAATGCAATGGCATGCCCCTATAATTGTGTGATTGTGACCCTCTTGAATTATCCTGTGAACCAGGATCTCTATAATTATTATAACTGGGAGGTAGAGATGAATCTCTGTAAGCATGTCGTAAGGATGATTCTCTGAAATCGGGGAGTACTGGCACTTCTCCAGGACTGACTCTAGAATGCAAAGGTGCCTCTCTGTAGGTAGGATGAGCCAGTGATTCACCATAGTTTGACTGGGAATACTGGTCTCCAACGATAGGATTTATAGAAGGATTCCCAGTGTTTGAAGATAGAGGCATTCCTTGGCTGCAATTCTGCATATTATTTGGCATATTATTAGAACTACTATAGCTTGAGAATTCTCTAGAGTTTGGATGCATAGGGAAGTCTCTTGATGCAGAATACATCATCATATCTGTAGAATTTTCACGAAATTCACCAGCATTATTTTGAGTATTATATTGTCCAGTACTTGAATGAGCAGGATAGCCGCCAGAATTCATTGCCACTGGGAAGCTGCCACAACTTGAATGTGCACTAAATCCCTCTGAATTTGTTTGTCCAATGATCCCCCCAGGATTATGAGGAGAATAGTCTCCAGAATTGGAGTGCTGAGGAAATCCACATGAATTGGTCTGTGTTGTAAATCCTATTAGATTGGACTGTGTGGAAAATCCTCCTGAACTTGAATGCATGTTAAACCCTCCAGAACTTAATTCGGAAGGGAATTCAGTAGTATTAGTGTGCGGAGAAAACTCTCCTGAATTGTTGTAAGCGGGGAATTGATCAGTGCTAGAGCTTCCAAGAAATCCTGATGAAACGGGGAACCCACTGGAACTAGAACTTGCAGAAAATCTATCAGAATTAACCATATGTGGTAGTCCCGTAGTAACCATATGCGAAGGAACTCCCAGAGAGTTAGTTTGAGATAGGAGAGCCCCTGAACTAGAATGTGGTGGAATTGTCTCATCATTTGATTCTGGAAGGGGTCCTATAGTACTGGAGTGTGCCGAGACTCCCATTAAATTCATCTGAGGTGATGGTCTAGTGGAGGTAGTAGAAACTGACTGTGTAGCATGGACTGCAGAGACAGAATGAGGAGGAAGTCCAGAAGATCTTGACTGTGGAGAAAGATCTGTCATCAAAGACTGGGGAGACATCCCTGTATACCTTGAGTGAGGATGGATTCCCGTATGGTTCACTTTATTTATTGACTGTGGAGAAATCTGATCAGATATTGACAATGGCGATAAATCAGCTGATCTGGACTGTAGCGGTAAAACTGTGCCAACAGATCTGGACTTGGGGGATGCATCACCTGTCTTGGAATGCAATGACACATCAACTTCATTAGACTTATTCTGTGATAGCAAGTCAATAGTCCTGGACTGTGGGGAGACATCAATACTCTTAGACTGTGGAGACATTTTAGCAGATTGTGATTGTGGAGACATCACGTTAGGTCTATTGGGAGACATCACGTTAGGTCTTGATTGTGGAGACATTGTTGTGGATGGTGCCCGTGGAGCCATTGTTGTGGATTTTGCACATGGAGACATTTCAAGTCTTGGCTGTGAAGATACTTCTGTAACCTTAGATAACAGAGATACATCAACAGACTTTGAGCGATTAGGAATTCCTAGAGAACGAACTTGTGACATATTTCCAACAGGTCTCGACTGTTGTGATGTAACTGGTCTAATATGAGGAGAAATAGTGGACTTAGAATGAGGAGATTGTCCAGTTGAATTGGGTTTTATAGTGGGTCCTCTTGGACTTGCATATCTCATTGATCCTTTGTTCAGGTCTCCATGTAGCCCACTGGAGTCTATGGACATAGCATTTGCTCTAAGATTTGCTTGCATAGCAGTCCCTCCAAGTCTATTCTGAAACGAAGGTCCTCTGGGATTTGAGTGTGCAGTAAATCCTTTTGTTGTGTGTAAATTTAGTCCTTTTAGAGTAGTATCTAATTTAAATCCTCTGTCATTTAATCCTAAGGATCTTAAATTTGAGTTTGTATGTGGAGTATATTTGGAGTTTGGATGTATGGGAATGCCCCTAAAATTTAGCTGTGTACATTTTTTAAGGTTTGAAAGTGCTTTAGAACCTCCCTGAACAAGTGTCCCTCTTGAATTGATGGGTTTATAGATGTCTTTTGATACTGAGCGACTCATCAGTCCTTCCGAAAAGTGTCGAACCGAAGACCCACTCTGAATGCTGACAGATGCAAATCCTTTAAAGACATTATTAGCCAATGATAGTCTGGAGTTTGACTGTGATGAAAAGTTTCCACTTGGTGCGGTGATTTGTGGGTTTGCTGTAATTACAGATCCATTTTTAACAACAGCAGCCATGTTAGTAGCTTGCTTGGTTTCATTCTTTATCCTGCCAACAGTCTCTACATTATCAACCATCCTCCTCACAATGGTTACACCACGACTCGCTAGAGTTGATTCGATCTCCATTGCAGACTTTTTTACAAAACGATTAGCACCTCCACAAAATTTTTCTTTTATAGTCAGTAATTCACTTTTGCTACATTGTTCAGTATTACTAATTTGTTTACCACTAACACAAGTATCGTTGTTAAGTTTTGGGTTTTTGGAATCTGCGATGGATAAACATTCACTTGAGGCTTCTCCATTTTCATCATGTGGGGCTACTTCTTTCTCATTCGGAGTATTTGAACAATTGTTTTGATTTAAATTGTCGTCTTTTTTCTCTAAAGGATGAATAACTCCAACTTCCTCCCCATCAATAATATTGATGTCAGAATTACTGTTATTCACTATATGATCTACATTAGTGGTTTCCTTATTTTCACTTCCTTCTTTATCAATGATCTTTTCATTATTTGCATCAGATACATTCTGTTCATTGCTCTTTTCTGCATCTCTGTCAGTAGTTCCCTCCTCATGCTTCTCACAATCAGCATTCACACACAATATTTCCTGTTTATCTTCATTAGACACATGAATATTCTCACTATTTTTTTCTTTTTCTTCTAGGTTTACTTTACTCATATTTGACAATTCTGAGACTGATGGATGCTTACTATTTGACGATTCTTGTGTGTTGGCATTTTCAACGTGCTCTACATCAGTAGGCTCGTTATTTTTGTTCACAGATTCACAACTTACATTTGATACATTGCCTGCCTTATCCAATTCATTAATCTCTCTATCACCGGGTTCGTGGCACTGGTTTAATTCTTCATTATCTGCAGCCGATACCTCATTGGACCTATCACTTTCTACATTTTCAACATCAGTATTTTCTTGAGTCTGATTAACTTCATTACTATCCTTTGTCTGTTGTGGTGCCTGGCAATCACCATTATCTGAGCTATGGCTGTTTACATCACCATCATCACCACCACCACCGCCATCCCCTTCACTACCGCCACCCCCATCATCATCCTGGCTTGCCTCTTCACCATTTGCAGTCACCTCTTCTGGTGTTTGGCAGCTGCTACTTTCAGATTTCTGACCCTTACCATCACTAACATAAGCATCGGACAAATTGAGTGGCAAGTTGCTGGTGCTGGAGACATAAGGTGGAGATGCCAGGGATGATCTCCTCCGTGCTACCAGCGACCGGAGGCCTGGCATAGCTTCAGCAACTCAGCTGTACCTAAAAAAAAAAAAGGATTAATAAAATTTGGCCTTTATTCCTGTAACACTGTAAAAGTGTTTGGTTTAGGTTAATACATACATAGAGTACATGAGTCACAGACAAGGATCGGAGAGGCGCCAGTTGTCTGCCTGAGATCTCACACCTCTAACCGTTAACGACCCCAAGTGACCTGAGGTCAGATCATGAGAATTTCACCTTGCTTCCGCTAAGCTTATAATTGTAGTCTGGTAGCCTTCAAACATGCCGACGTTTAAGGAGTGGCTTGGTAGTGCCGGAGGCTATCTACTTGTGGGCGGAGTTAGCTACTAGGTTCCCCAATATAAACTCGGAGAGCTATCCAGCAAAAAGCATTTAACAGACAGAGCAGCAGACGAGAGAGAGACGACGTCCCTACCAGGGAGGCTGTCGGCCGGCAGGGGCGAGACAGTCTCTGTCAAGCTACAGACCCCCCCCCCCCCCTCTCTATTCAACTTAGACTCAGTACTCGGTGAGTGAACATTAAGGTGACTTGGTCGTGTTTACATATGTTGTGTGATGATCAGGGGCAGTCAAGTTGTAGGGTTCTCGAATTCTTGGATGATGACTCACTTTGCATATTAAACTGGAACATTTTAATTGAATTGCTAAATTATGATACTTCATGTGAAATATAATTATGAATTTATTATTTAAATTGTGTTTAACTTTGTTCCCTAGAGCTTTGAGTTGAGGATTTGAGAAAGCCTCTGTGGTTACTGGGTTCATGATATAAATGAGTACATGTTTGGAGTTGATACATGGTACAGAGGGAACATACTAATAATGAACTCATGATAACATCCTTTGAGAATTTTGTGATACAGGCAAGTTCCATTCCTTGTCTTGTATGTAATGATCATGAATGGATGGTGGCAGCATTTCGTCTTCTACTATCTACTCTTCTACTTCTACTATCTACTCTTCTACTTCTACCTATCTACACCTCTCCCTCCACCCCCTCTCTAAACTCTCACTTTCAACTAATGACCCTCCTCGCTCCTCCCACCTCTCTACCTCTCACCCCAAACCCTCACTAATTACTTCACTATTCATTTCTTTCCTTTCGTTTTCTCGTATACGTTTGTGGCAATGATTCTGTATTCTAGAGTTCTCTCTAGAGTTTCGGGTAACTGATCAAGTTACGGCGCCTTGTAGTCTTAGCACCTAGGTAGTCAAATACCTAGTTTACAAGGTGTTGAACGAGAGAGGTTGCCTTAGGAACTCTGGAGGTGCTCTAGAATAGTTAGCTAACTGGGGACGGGATAACGGACTAGAGAGAGCTGTTTCCCCCGGCCTCGTTAGTTAACTGGGGGGGTGGAATAATGGACAAGATAGAGCAATTTCCCCCACCCCCCGTTACAATGTTGGCAGCGGTGTTGAACAATGTTGTAGGTAGTTGGTGTTCTTTTAACATTGTTCAGTCCCACGTGTCTTTTTGCCGCTCAGGCGCTATCAGGGAGATCTTGACAGGTGTTTATTATTCGCGATTTAGCGAGCTTTTTCCAGGTTAGGAGATGGTGATTCTCTGGTGTTGTGTTTAGTGATTTTGTGAGTTTTGTGGTATTCAGGGAATGTTCACCAGAACTTGCGTGTGTAGTGATTTATGTTAGTAATAAGATTTGGCGATTTGGGAACTTAGCGGTGTTGGTAGTGCAGGTTAGCTGAGTGTGACAGGTGACCTCGCATGTCCCACGGGGACACCCAGCCACCGCTGGTCTCCAGGTCAGTGGGGAGTGGCAGGTGTAGTTCTTAAATAGATTTTAAGTAGTTTTTAGTGGTTCTGCTCAGATTATTGCGATCGACTGTTTTACTCCATTTGAACGCAATAACCCGAGGTGTACTGGTCTTGTACAGCATGCTAGGGGGAGCCTTAGTATGTCAGTAGACTTCACGTTGGGGACGCTCGACGTTAGATAGTCTGGTCACAGGGGTGGCAACAGTTTGGGGTTGTTGACCGGCGGAGAAGCTAGGGAGACACTCTGGGTCACGTAGGTGGCTGTAGGTTAAGGGTGGGAGTAACGGTTAATTATGTACTTAAGATTAGGAAAGGTATAGTTAAGTTTAGGCTAGTGTTTTGTCTATTAGTTTTGATTTTTTTTTTGTGACAAGTTAAAAGTAGTGATGACCTTATTCTCTCTTCTCTAAACTTTCCTCTGTTACTGTTTTATGTTCCACCAAGTCAATATCATTCAGAGTTAATTGGATTATTAAAAAAAAAAAAATTGAAGTGTAGTTGTTGCCAGGATGAGAGCGTTATGATATGACTGTGTAACCCTATACAAACTACAGGGTCACATAACATATCTTGGGAGCACGATATTGTCGCCTTTCTGTTCACCCACAGGTGGGAGCCAGAAGAGAGGAGAGACGCACATACAAAAGAGGGAGACGGCTGCTGTGTACCACACTCACGGGCGTTAATCACCACCACCACGACCAGCCCACTACCTGGAGGTCACGGCTCCACCACCATCACCACCCCAGGGGACCCCAAGATGCAGCCCTCTCGGTCGGTCAACATTGGTCTACCCAGTGGACCCCAGGTCGTTCTGCAGACGACCCCAGACGACCCAGTAAAGATGGAAGAGGAGCAACAACGACTCCAGTCTGTACCACCAACATCGGTCTACCCAGGATGGACCCCAGGACGGACGGACCCCAGTGGACCCCAGGTCGCTTGTCTAAGACCCATGGGAGGAGGAAGAGAGAAGAAAGAAGAGAGAAGAAAGAAGAGAGAAGAAGGAAGAGAGAAGAAAGAAGGAAGAAGAAGAAGAAGATAAGACAAGCTGAGTGAGACACGATGCCTCGTGTCCCTTGCTGGTGTCAGCATCATTGCATGGAGCGTAATTGCAAGACAGGATCGTTTGCCTTGACTGGCCGCCCCTCCTACAAGCATGTTGCTCTGTTGAGTGATTCTTCCTGTGTCATGCGGACTTGATGTGGCTGTCAGAAGTAGCTCTCTGAAGGAGGCGTGCTGGAGCAACAAGGAGGAAGAAGAGTAGGATGGGATTTCTACTGTTGGCAACTATATGAAGGTCTCGAAACTTGTAGTCCCTATAGCTGTGAAAAACCCCAATATACGTCTCTCATGGTGACTGACGTAGGGCCAATTACAGATCAGCTGGGACAACCGAATTCCACGGTCCTGTGCGCAGTTCAAGTAGTAACGGCTTTCGGGTTGACCAAGGGTTGTTGTGCGTTAACGACGGAGAAGCGACGGAGGCAGTTGTGTTGAAGAAATGTGGTACAGGATTATCTACAAGACCAAGCAGTGACGTCGCCCAGCCAGAGACAATGGACGTCTGTCTATATATTTCATTTTTTTAGAGTAGGATGATGTATATTTGTTTAGCTAGGATGTATTCTTTTCGTTAATAAAGTTGTCGCACACAGCTAGCTTGCTTTAGCAGTGTTGCAAAAACTTTATTTTCGGGGAGAAGGGGAGATGTAACACTGTAAAAGTGTTTGGTTTAGGTTAATACATACATAGAGTACATGAGTCACAGACAAGGATCGGAGAGGCGCCAGTTGTCTGCCTGAGATCTCACACCTCTAACCGTTAACGACCCCAAGTGACCTGAGGTCAGATCATGAGAATTTCACCTTGCTTCCGCTAAGCTTATAATTGTAGTCTGGTAGCCTTCAAACATGCCGACGTTTAAGGAGTGGCTTGGTAGTGCCGGAGGCTATCTACTTGTGGGCGGAGTTAGCTACTAGGTTCCCCAATATAAACTCGGAGAGCTATCCAGCAAAAAGCATTTAACAGACAGAGCAGCAGACGAGAGAGAGACGACGTCCCTACCAGGGAGGCTGTCGGCCGGCAGGGGCGAGACAGTCTCTGTCAAGCTACAGACCCCCCCCCCCCTCTCTATTCAACTTAGACTCAGTACTCGGTGAGTGAACATTAAGGTGACTTGGTCGTGTTTACATATGTTGTGTGATGATCAGGGGCAGTCAAGTTGTAGGGTTCTCGAATTCTTGGATGATGACTCACTTTGCATATTAAACTGGAACATTTTAATTGAATTGCTAAATTATGATACTTCATGTGAAATATAATTATGAATTTATTATTTAAATTGTGTTTAACTTTGTTCCCTAGAGCTTTGAGTTGAGGATTTGAGAAAGCCTCTGTGGTTACTGGGTTCATGATATAAATGAGTACATGTTTGGAGTTGATACATGGTACAGAGGGAACATACTAATAATGAACTCATGATAACATCCTTTGAGAATTTTGTGATACAGGCAAGTTCCATTCCTTGTCTTGTATGTAATGATCATGAATGGATGGTGGCAGCATTTCGTCTTCTACTATCTACTCTTCTACTTCTACTATCTACTCTTCTACTTCTACCTATCTACACCTCTCCCTCCACCCCCTCTCTAAACTCTCACTTTCAACTAATGACCCTCCTCGCTCCTCCCACCTCTCTACCTCTCACCCCAAACCCTCACTAATTACTTCACTATTCATTTCTTTCCTTTCGTTTTCTCGTATACGTTTGTGGCAATGATTCTGTATTCTAGAGTTCTCTCTAGAGTTTCGGGTAACTGATCAAGTTACGGCGCCTTGTAGTCTTAGCACCTAGGTAGTCAAATACCTAGTTTACAAGGTGTTGAACGAGAGAGGTTGCCTTAGGAACTCTGGAGGTGCTCTAGAATAGTTAGCTAACTGGGGACGGGATAACGGACTAGAGAGAGCTGTTTCCCCCGGCCTCGTTAGTTAACTGGGGGGGTGGAATAATGGACAAGATAGAGCAATTTCCCCCACCCCCCGTTACATTCCAACAAGTTATTGTCAAATTAATATTGCACTGTACACACACACACACACACACACACCACACTTTAATGGACATATACAGTACTTTAGTCTTATATTAAAGTTCCCTTAAGATGAACTACAAATCAGTACACATTACCCATATCAGTACACATCACCCATATCAGTACACATTACCCATATCAGAACACACCACCCATATCAGTACACATCACCCATATCAGTACACATCACCCATATCAGAACACACCACCCATATCAGTGCCCATCACCCATATCAGTACACATCACCCATATCAGAACACACCACCCATATCAGTGCCCATCACCCATATCAGTACACATCACCCATATCAGTACCCATCATCCATATCAGTACACATCACACAGGATATGATGGACTATGTCACCCAGATGTGCCAGGAAGCTACAGACAGGTTTATCCCAATCCAAAAGGAGAAAAATGAAAAGCAACAGATAATCCATGGTTCAACCAGGAATGTAAGGTTGGGAAGCAAATTGAGTGCAAGAACATGGAGAAACTACAGGAAATAACAACACCAGAGAGCAGGGAAAGATACCAGAGGGCCAGAAATGAGTACCTCAGAGTGAAGAAGCAGAGAGAGGCAGTATGAAAATGACATTGCAAGTAAAGCCAAGACCCAACCAAAACTGTTCCACAGCCACATCAGGAGGAAAACGGCAGTGACTGTTTACTCCACAACTGTTTACTAATTCCCAGGTACAGTACCTATTTACTGCTAGGTGAACAGAAGCATTAGGTGAAAGGAAACATACCCACCCACTTCTGTCCAACCTGGGATACAAACCCAGGATTTCCGACTGCACGTTGAGAACACACCTAACTGTACTGTCATGCAGCACTGTTTATTATGTAAATACCCATACAAAACCTACTGACCTTCAATGGCAAATTTTTTGTAGTCTGATTTAAAATCATGGACAATGTTACCTGTAATAGATTCCAGAGCAACAATTTTAAAAAAATCTATTTATCCAGCTATTCAAAATGTGTTTTCAGTATAATTTTACACACTTCTTTTTTTAAGTGTGGCAATTCTTGTTTGCATATGTGGCTGCATTTGCCAATTCAAAAATTCATGTTAGTAGTAACACTATCAACCCTGGTGAGGTCCTATGATTATAAGTCACCTCTCACTGAAATGTTACTCTACTCTTAGCTTCCTTTCAATCCATTTTGGTGTCAAGGACTTTATAAAATGGCTGAAACTTATTGTACATAAAAAATGATGATCAAAATAGCTTGGCACTTAGGAGATACTACAGTAATATAAGGAATTTCAAGATTTCTCAAAAGTGTATAGACAATTTAAACAAAAGAATATATTGTTTCTAGCATTTAAGCTAAAAAACAAATATTATATATATATATATATATATATATATATATATATATATATATATATATATATATATATATATATATATATATATATATATATATATAAGATATATATATATATATATATATAAACTTAGGTTGTCAATAATATGAATTATGTAATACCAACTAGTTTAACAAACTTTCATTGTATTACAAAATATATATATAAATACTCAACTGTTTAATTACCTGACTTTTGTAAAATTCCTTTCTATTCATAATGATTCCCGTCTCACAACAAATAAATCACTTTAAAAATAGACTGGAGTAACTAAACACTTTTTTTTTCTTCATTCTCAATTCTGGCTGTGTGCCAAGCAGCTCATGATGACATCTCCCTAAACAACAAATTCTATTATCATTCAATTTTTTCCCAGGCAACTCAAGTGCCTTGTGTTGACAGTGTGTTGAGGACAGACAGCAACATCACAACATCTTAACTCAAGTTTTCCTACTTGTGTCATGTTTGGGTTCTATACTCCCTTCACTTGCCTCTCGGAAGAGGAGGGAATTCACTTCACTAAACCAACAAGATGACGTCTTTATACAGGCGGAGGTCAAGACGCCGGAAATAATGGTGGTGTGGCAGGTGAGGGGGCCCCAAATCACAACAGCTCACGCCACTAACCAATATAACCTTGGCATTCCAAAACTGGCCTCAAGCAAACTCCGTGTTGATTCGTGTGGACACTGAGCCAGCGCCACCTACACACCTCTCCTCCTCCTCCTGCTCCTACCACGGCCCTATCTTATAATATTAAGGGAGTAATCAATATTTAAAACACGCCCTTACTTCAGTATTACATCCAAGTTTTTCAAAGACACTAATTACGAAGTAGGTCACTTAAGAAAACGTAGACAATCCTTCTGCGCGTTCACTCTGCGCGTCCCTGGCTTTTGTTATGGTAAGAGTTGGCGATTAATTACAGGCCAAACACTAAATCAAAATGTTGAAATATTTTATTTTACTAATGATTAGAGACTTAACGTCAATTATAAAATGCAAGAACGATTCAGTATAATTTAATACTATTTCTGTTTATTAGACGAGCAATAAAGGCTTACTTGAATCGCAAATGAGCAGCGGGAGATTTGGATGATCATTCCGGGAGAACGATAATGGCCAGGTGCAAAATCATATCTACAAGGAAAAAAAATAGTTTGTCGCAACATTAGCCCTATTATACTATCTTAGAGTTTGATATCAAAGCTGTTATCATTTTTATCCCAGCTTCCTGTTGTGAAATAAGGCCTAGTAGCGCTTATAGAGTTACTAGGGTAAATAATTATGAACCCTTCCCCAAGAAATATTCATTGATAAAGTTTAGAGCATATAAACATTAATTCACCTATAGATACTTTATTTCATAATATAATTATAATAACTTAGTGATACACAGATGAACTTTATAGGAGCTCATAACTATAATGAAACAAACAATGAGCAACGGCTACAGTTTAGGATAGAAAACAGGAGATATTAAACCAAGGAACCGCATACCCACCGAAGTCATAAATGTCAAAACACTGCTGCAATTTAAAATCCATCTGGATAAAATCGGTAAATGGAGGACCTTTGATAAGCTGTTTGAAAATAGCTTATCATCCAGAGTTATCTGACTGCCGCAGATAACTCTGCGTCAGTCAGGCGCAGAGATCTCCCTCAACGTACCTATTATACCTCGTTTTTCAACGAGGATATTTTGCACATCCTGCCATGCCTACTGGTCTCATGTGATGTTATTTCTGTGATCAGATTTGTTACAATGTCTCTCTAATATTTCCCACATGAAGATTATTATGTATCTCTCTCGCCTGCGCTCTAGAGAATATAGATTTAGAACTTTTAATCGGTCCCAATAATTAAGATGAATTACTGAGTGGATTCGAGCGGTAAATGATCTTTGCACGCTCTCTAGGTCACCAACTTCTCCGGCTTCGAATGGGGCTGTTAGAGTACAACAATATTCCACTCTAGAGAGCACTAGAATTTTAAAAAGTATCATCATTGGTATGGCATCCCTTGTTTGGAACCTTAACACCTTATTTACCTGAGGGCTACTACCACTAGTGGCCTCGACGAGGACAGGAAGCCGGCGGCTTGTCGAAGGTCCCTCCATTTGCCTTGAAGATCTTTTCCAGTTGACTTTAAAAATTAACAGAATTTTGGCCTTTACGGTGTCGGCGGGTAGGCTGTTCCATGGGTTTATTATTATTCTAGCATATGCTGCTTTTAAATCAATTAGATCTGAACGACCACCAGTATCAGCTAGAAGAGATGATCGAGCGATTTCGGGAAACATTTTTGTGAGTCCCCAGAAAGTCCGTAAGAAGAGCAAGTCTGTAAACCTAGATTCCTTCAACGACAATTTGGCGGGTCGCGAGGAAACTCTTGCTAATGACGCCCTACAAGCTGTAGCTCGTTCAGGCCTTAAAGACAGACGACCAGTAAAAGTGCAAGCAATTCTGTGTCGATATGCATGAAAAAATTGAAGACGAGTTTGAACAACGTCTTGTTTTCAGTGATGATGCTACATTTCATACGAATGGCAAAGTCAAAAAGCATAATGTTCCCATTTGGGGCAAAGAAAATCCCCATCCCACAGTTGAGCACACGAGGTATTCACTAAAAGTGAATGGATGTGTTCAGCGTGGAGGTGGGGTCCCTCGAGTGTTTCAAACGTGGGTTGGATATGTATATGAGTGGGATTGGGTGGTTATAAATAGGAGCTGCCTTGTATCGGCCAATAGGCCTTCTGCAGTTACCTTTGTTCTTATCTCCAATAATGAATTTCATGACACGTTCTTCTTTGAAGAAATTATGACCAGCGATGATTATCTGCACATTCTTCAGAACTGGCTAATTGATGAACTGATTGCAAATTAAAAGGGACGCTTCATTTTTCAACAGGATGGGGCTCCACCTCACTGGAAGCTCACTGTGCGGGCTTATCTCAATGCAGCCGTCTTCCAAAAATGGGGTGGTAAATGTAAGAAGACAAATAAGTGCAATTATGTATTATTCATAGCAGTTAGGAATTGTACTTATTTTCACTTAGTATTAAATCGTAGTCAAATATATTGTGAATATTTGAGTTTACCTGAAAAACTGAGTAGAAAACCACAACCTCGCCTAAGCGTCTTAGTTTTTGAAGATAATAATTTTATTGCTTCTTAATTACAATTATTACTTGACCTATAGCTATATTGATATTACAGTTTTATAAAACTAATAAAACAAAACTAAAATATATTAATAAATTGTAAAGTAACTCAGGATATTTTAAAATTTTGTATAAAATCTATATTGTTTAATAAACCTGAAAAAGAAATTCTTGATATTTAAAACTCGTGTATTTCTAATGGTAATTGAAAACTTCATCCTAAAATTCTGAGCGTCTTAACAGAAAACGAAGAGAATTAAATCGGGGGAGGGAGTTGGGTAAATGTAACAGCCCGATAAGTGCAATTATGCACTACTTATGACAGTAAGAAAGTGTACTTAGTGTGTACACTTAGTATTGAATCGTACTGTCAATTCGGAGGATAGGTTGCTTAATGAGAATCAGACAGGAAGATGATTCTTCCTGGCCAATTCAGGAATCTAAAAATTCAAGATCCAAAACTCTGCACCTGGGAATCACCAACAACCAAAATTCGTTTAACTACTACCTTTACACGATAGTCTGATGATAGATGGAATTACTGGTGTCGACCCCAGTTTGCTAACTGTAGGTAGTAACTAAGTGATTGTAACCTATCCACCGCTGCCCACTGGATGGGGGGCGGTGTGCAGGACAAACATATCAATTGTGACACTAGCTCTCCACATATGTCAGTTGCTTAATTTAGAAACTGTACTTGTGGTCGATCTCGAACCCATTGTTGATGTGACGACTTATACTGAATTTTGTAACTAGCTCACCAAAATTGTAACTTGCTTGGCTAAACGAATTGTGTTGTTCAGTCCCTGAGCCCATTATGTGCCTCTGTAACCCTTTCCACTACCGCCCACAAGATGGGTATGAGGTGCATAATAAATGAACTAAACTAACTACTACCTTTAATAGCGCTCCCTTCTTTGCCTTATCTCTTGGGTAAACTGCAGTCTCCCCACAGCACTCGTCTTCCAGCACGGCGACGAGTTCGAATGAGTAATGCTGCTTTCCTCTTGAGAGTAAACACGTTGTTTCATCTGCCTTAGCTTCTCCCGCGGAGGAGCTGTCCAACGCTGTCCTTAGAACTCCACATAGATCTATCAGGTTCCTCACTATACATTCCATTTTTATTCTGAAGCATAATCGGAGCTCCAGGTAACACAACCTCTCACTAAGACTGCCTGCGCCTGACTGTCCCATGAAGGGACTGGTCTATGTCCCCCCCCGCTTCTTACAAGCCTACAGGAACGCCAGCAAAGAATCACAGCAGCACTGTAGACTTACCTTAAACATGCTGATACCCACTTGACGTGGGCCGTATCACAGGCCCACATCATGTTGAAAATCTGTGAAATCATTCATATACCTTTGGATTTATCATTTGAATTTTTAGTGAATTCTGCATCCTACGCCTTATCTTCAAATGCACAAAGAAATATCCATGTATGGATACAATAATCCAGGTGTGGGAGCACCAGAGTTTTACACTTATTTATTTATTTATATACAAGGTACATTGGGGATTAAGAGAGAACATAGGAATGATGTTGATTTTACAATCTTGTAAAGCCACTAGTACGCATAGCGTTTCGGCCAATTAGTCCTTAAACTAACAGATAATTCTAAGTAGATAATTTACAGTACAATTTACAACAAATGTTTATAAGTACTTTACAGCTTTACTTTACGGGTACAGGTAATTTTAAGCAGATAAATTGCAGTAAAATTGACAAAAAATGTTTACCAGGTCAACAAAAATAATGATTAGAATAATACATTGTAGCGAGTAAACATTATGCTCGCTCCAATCTCTCATTATCTTAATGGCATAACTGATAATGAGAGACTGGATTGAGTATAATGTTTACTCTCTACAACATAATAATAACAAAACATTATAATGAACAAGGATTTCAAGGTACATTAATATATATTAGGATAAAATATCAGAGTTATACATTGGTTCACTGTAGCACAATTTAAGGATCATTTCAAGGAATAATGAAGTAGAATATGCACTCAATATAACAACCATGATATCAGATGATATCAAAGATTACAATGGTAAAGTAATATGGCTTAGGTACATATATTGAGGGATTTGGTAGCACTAGATACAGTGCGAGTTAAGCTTGTTAATATAAACAATATAAAAAGGGGCTGGTCCGGGCCAGCAGCATACAGGTTGGTCATACGGACCTTCCCTCCCTGCGTACAAGCCTCTATAAGACCCCTGTATGTATCACCGACACGGGAGACATCTCCCGTCACGCAGGGTGCCGTCGCACCTCCACAGATCTCCAGTATCAGCTCTTGATACTGGTAATGGCTCAAAAGGGCCACCACTTACGGGCTATTCATACCTGTGTCACCTTTTGGGTGGCTTAATCTTTATCAATCACCCTTCGACCAACCAGCTTAAACCCTTACCCGTACTGCGCATGTATGCGCCTGTCA